TTCCATATTTTCTATTCTATTCTATTCTATTCCATATTTTCTATTCTATTCTATTCTATTTCTATTCTATTCCATATTTTCCTATTCTATTCTATTCTATTCCATATTTTCTATTCTATTCTATTCTATTCTATTCCATATTTTCCTATTCTATTCTATTCTATTCTATTCTATTCTATTCTATTCTATTCTATTCTATTCTATTCTATTCCATATTTTCTATTCTATTCTATTCTATTTTGTTGGTTTGATGATATTAAGCTGGGAGGAATAGCCAATACCCCAGAAGACAAGCTCAGGATCCCAAAGGATGTTGACAGACTTGAGCAATGAATTTTATTGTAGAGAAAAGCAAGGTTTTACACTTGGGTAGGAGAAACCAAAGGTACAAGAACAAATTTAACTGTGAGAAGCACCTTGGAGTCCTAGTGGACGATGCCTTCAACCTGAGCCAGCCGTGTGTGGCAGCAGCCAAAAAAGCCAATACAATCCTTGGTTGCGTAAACAGGCGCAGAACCAAAATCACGTGAAGTATTAGCAATGCTTTATAAAGCCTTAGTAAGGCCACACCTGGAATCCTGCATGTAGCTTTGGTTCCCACATTACAAAAAAGTTGTTGACACTTTTGGGAAAAAAAAGTGCAGAGATGATTAAAGGCCTGGAGACAAAAACAAATGAAGAATGGTTGCAGAATTTGGGTTTGGCTAGTAGTCTAAAGAAAATAAGAAATAGGGGTGACATGATAGCAGCGTTCCAGTATTTGAGGGGCTGCCACAAAGAAGAGGGGGTCAATTTATTTTCCAAAGCACCTGAAGGCAGGACGAGAAGCAACAGATGGAAACCAATCAAGGAGAGAAGCAAACAGGAATTAAGGAGAAATTTCCTGACAATGAGAACAGTTAACCAGTGGAATGCCTTGCCACCAAAAGTTGTGAGTGCTGCAACACTGGAGGTTTTTAAGAAGAACCCTATAAAATGGGGGATATATGTGACTTACGGAAAACGTTTTGCAATCTTTTTTTTCGCTCTAGGGCAGAGGTCGGGAACGGTGGCCCCTTCATGTCTTGTGGACTTCAACTCCCAGAATTCCTGAGCCAGCATAGCTCAGCTTGGAAACTTCTCCCTTTCCCCTCAGCATGGCTGGCTCAGGAATTCTGGGAGTTGAAGTCCACAAGTCATGAAGGGGCCATAGTTTCCCCATGCTGGCTCAGGAATTCTGGGAGTTGAAGTCCACGAGTCATGAAGGGCCTTAGTTCCCCCCCCCCATGCTGGCTGAGGAATTCTGGGAGCTGAAGTCCGCAAGTCATGAAGGGGCCATAGTTCCCCCATGCTGGCTGAGGAATTCTGGGAGCTGAAGTCCGCAAGTCATGAAGGGGCCATAGTTCCCCCATGCTGGCTGAGGAATTCTGGGAGCTGAAGTCCGCCAGTCATGAAGGGGCCATAGTTCCCCCATGCTGGCTCAGGAATTCTGGGAGTTGAAGTCCACCAATCATGAAGGGGCCACCGTTCCCCACCCCTGTTCTAGGGAATGTATGGGGAACTTATGACAGTTCGTTTAATCTCTTGATCTGTCTGTCAATCTCAGTGCTCGTTCCTTCTCTGAGTTTGCTTGTTACTATTGATTTAGATTTCCATTTTACATGGTGCGGGTGTGTTTAAACTTGCCCGTAGTTTTTCATCCAGACTGTGACCAGGGCGCCAGTCTCTTGTGTAAACAATTAACACCTCCCCTTTCCTCACAGAGTAATACCATAAAATAAAGATTTCCCATTTTGCATTGTCAAACGGTGGACTGGAGCAGACACCTTATATTATTTAAGTGGTTACATTGCTTGGCAACAGATTGTTTGGATGCTAAACAGAAGCTTGGTGTAGTTTTACTTTACTTATTTTATGTTGTTGTTGTTGTTCTGGCATCGAAGATATATATTTCAATCTCTCTCTCTACTTCCACCCCGTCTCTTTTTCTCCTTCGTTTCTATCTTCTTCCTTCCTCATTTCTTTCTCTCCAGCCTTTCTTGTTTTCCTCTGTTCCTCAGATTTTGTTTAACTTCCTTCTTCTTCCTTCCACTTTCTTTCCACTTCCCTTCCCCTCCGTTCCTTTCTTCCTCATCTGTTCCCATCTTTGCTTCCTTCCCTCCTTCCTCCGTCTCTTTTCTTCTTCTATTTACTTATTTACTTCCTTCCACTCTTCCCTCCCTTATCTCTTCCTTTCTCTCTCCCTCCTTCCTTCTTTCCTTCCTTCTCCCCCTCCCCTTTCCTTCTTCCGACCCTTCTTTCTCCTTTATCTATTTCCTCCCTCCCTCCCTCCTTCCCTTCCTTCTGTCCTTTCTTCCTCCTCTCTTGCTCCTCCCTTTTCCTTCCTTCCTTTCTTCCTTCCTTCCTCCTTCCCTCCCTTTCTTCCTTCCCTTCTTCCCTCCTTTATCTTTTTCCTTCCTTCCTTCCTCCTTCCCTCCCTTTCTTTCTTCCCTTCTTCCCTCTTTTATCTTTTTCCTTCCTTCCTTCCACCTACTTCTTTTTGCACTTTCACTTACCTTCCCTTTCTTCCTTCCTTTCTCCTTCCCGTTCTTCCTTCCCTCCTTTATCTTTTTCCTTCCTTCCTCCTTCCCTTCATTTTTTCCTTCCCTTCTTCCCTCCTTTATCTTTTTCCTTCCTTCCACCCACTTCTTTTTGCACTTTCACTTACCTTCCCTTTCTTCCTTCCTTTCTCCCTCCCGTTCTTCCTTCCCTTCTTTATCTTTTTCCTTCCTTCCTTCCTCCTTCCCTCCTTTTCTTCCTTCCCTTCTTCCCTCCTTTATCTTTTTCCTTCATTCCTTCCACCCACTTTTTGCACTTTCACTTACCTTCCCTTTCTTCCTTCCTTTCTCCCTCCCGTTCTTCCTTCCCTTCTTTATCTTTTTCCTTCCTTCCTTCCTCCTTCCCTCCTTTTCTTCCTTCCCTTCTTCCCTCCTTTATCTTTTTCCTTCATTCCTTCCACCCACTTCTTTTTGCACTTTCACTTCCCTTCCCTTTCTTCCTTCCCTCCTTCCCTCCTTTATCTTTTTCCTCCCTCCCTCCCTCCCTCTCTTACACGCACACACTCTCACCAACACAGACTTTTCTTTCCTTCTTCCTTTCTCTGAAGAAGCCATATCCCAGCCTTGGGCACCCTCACCGTCCCTATTGCAGAAAACCCACCCTTGCAAAGAGGAGGGGGAACCAGCAGCCCCTCCTCATTCTCCCCCCCCCCCCGTGGGGAGAGGCAAAGCGGGCGGGGGTCGGTCTCTCTCTGTGGAGTTGGTGGGCTCAGCTTCAGCAATTCCCAGAGTCTGGCTCCTGACTGGGACAAGGCTGCCATCTTCTGGCCCATAGAGCTCATAGCAAGCCAGAATTTTGGATGCTCATTGCTATAAAAAAAAAGTTTACAGCAGGGGTCCTTTTATCACTCGTGGACTTCAACTCCCAGAATTCCTCAGCCAGCATAGCTCAGCTTCAGCTTGGAAACCTCTCCCTTTTCCCTCAGCATGCCTGGCTCAGGAATTCTGGGAGTTGAAGTCCACAAGTCATGAAGGGGCCATAGTTCCCTCATGCTGGCTCAGGAATTCTGGGAGTTGAAGTCCACAAGTCATAAAAGGGCCAAGTTGGAAGACCCCTGCTCTATCCCATTTTTTCAGCCATTGATAAAATAAGTTCCATGTTTAAAAATATTCTGAATCTTCTTTTTCTTTGATCCTCAGTGTAATGTCTGTCCATTTCAGCACAGTCCAGTATTTAATAATAATAATAATAATAAAAACTTGGAAGGGACCTTGGAGGTCATCTAGTCCAACCCCCTGCTCAGGGGGGGAGTTAAAGTCCACAAGTCATAAAAGAGCCAAGTTTGAAGATCCCTGGTTGGCTGAGGAATTCTGGGAGTTGAAGTCCACAAGTTTGGAGAGCCATGCTCTAAACCAGAGGTCCCCAAACTTTCGGGCACCAGGGACCGGTTCCGTGGAGAGAGATTTTTCCACGGACCAGAGAGTGCATGGTTTTGGGTGCTGCCTGCATCCTGCGGATGGAGCTTCGCTTCTTTGCGCGGATCGGTTGCTGGCATGCCGCGGCCCGGTACCAGTCCACATACCGGGGGTTGTGGAGACCCCTACTCTAAACCAGGAGCGGGGAACAAGAGCCTCTTAGAAATGTGTGGACTTCAACTCCCAGAATTGGGACTCTAGAGCAGTGGTTCTCCACCTGTGGGTCGGGACCCCATTGGGGGTCGAACGACCATTTCACGGGGATCGCCAAACAACGCAATCCGCCATTTTTTCCCCCTTTTCTTTATCTGTGCTACTCCCTTTTATTCTATTGGCTTTTGAAAGCCAATAGAATAGATCTCTTGAATAGAGTCTAATTCTATTGGCTTTCAAAAGCCAATAGGAATTGTCCAGGCTGTCTCTGCCCTGCTGAGCCCGCCAAAAGCCCCATTCTGAAAACGGTGCTGCACCAGTTGAGTAGTCCTCGACTTATGACCGGTTGAGTAGTCCTCGACTTACGATCGGTTGGGGATCGCGGCATTAAAAAGGTTGAGGACCACTGCTCTAGAAAGAATGCAGAGAAGAGCAACAAAGATGATTCGGAGACTGGAGGCTAAAACATATGAAGAACGGTTGCTGGAATTGGGCATGTCTAGTTTAACGAAGAGAAGGACGAGGGGGGACAGGATAGCAGTGTTCCAATATCTCAGGGGCTGCCCCAAAGAAGAGGGAGTCAAGCTATTTTCCAAGGCCCCTGAAGGCAGGACAAGAAACAACGGGTGGAAACTAACCAAGGAGAGAAGCAACCTAGAACTAAGGAGAAACTTCCTGACAGTTAGAACAATTAACCAGTGGAACAACCTGCCTCCAGAAGCGGTGAATGCTCCAACACTGGAAGTTTTTAAGAAGAAACTGGACAGCCATTTGTCTGAAATGGTATAGGGTTTCCTGCCTGAGCAGGGGGTTGGACTAGATGACCTCCAAGGTCCCTTCCAACTTTTCTATCATTATAATAATAATAATAGTAATAATAATAATAATAATTCCCCAGCCAGCCACGTTCAGGCCCAGGCCTTCCGACAGAGACAAGACGAGGTGGAAAGCAAACGAGGAGAACTAGGTCTAACTACTCTTTGTCTTAAAACTCCAGATTCACTGCCCCGCGCGGACGATTCGAGGTCGAACCGGGAGCCCCCAGAAGTCCCGGGGATGGATAACCAGACGTCTCCAGCTGCTGTGAAGGACTCGTGCACGTACCACGAAGAGTTTAAGCAGATCCTGCTGCCGGTGGTCTACTCCGTCGTCCTGGCGTTGGGGTTCCCCTTGAACTTCGTGGTCATCATTCAGATCTGGCTGTCCCGGAAGGTCCTGACCCGGACCATGATCTACATGCTGAACCTGGCGGTGGCCGACTTACTCTATGTCTGCTCTCTGCCGCTGCTGATCTACAACTATTCCCAGAAGGACTACTGGCCTTTTGGCGACTTCACCTGCCGCTTCGTCCGGTTCCAGTTCTACACCAACTTGCACGGCAGCATCCTTTTCCTGACCTGCATTAGCGTCCAGCGCTATTTGGGCATCTGCCACCCGCTCTCCACCTGGCACAAGAAACGGGGCAAACGCTTCACTTGGGGGGTCTGCACCCTGGTTTGGATCGTGGTCACCGCTCAGTGCCTGCCCACCTTCCTCTACGCCTCCACCGGGATCCAGAGGAACCGCACCGTCTGCTACGACCTGAGCACACCGGAAAACTCAGGCGGGTACTTCCCCTACGGCATCACCCTGACCGTCACGGGCTTCTTGATCCCTTTTCTCTTCATCTTGGGCTGCTACTGTAACATGACCAAGATCCTTTGTCAGAAGGATGAGTTGATCGGGCTGGCCGTCCGCAAGAAGAAGGACAAAGCCATCCGGATGATTGTTATCGTGGTCCTCGTCTTTGCCATCAGCTTCTTCCCCTTCCACTTGACCAAGACCATCTACCTGATCATCCGCTCCTTTCCCGAGGTCCACTGCCTCACCCGCCAGGCCTTTGCCATCACCTACAAGTGCACCCGTCCTTTTGCCAGTATGAACAGCGTCCTGGACCCCATCCTTTTCTACTTCACCCAGAGGAAATTTCGGGAAAGCACGCGACACTTGTTGGACAAGGTCAGCTCCAAGTGGAAGCACGATTCGTGAGGATGGGCCGAGAACGGGCGTCAACTGGAAGGAGATCTGATCTTCGACCAAGGACAGGCTGGTGGTCCTCACCCCGGGGCCCAACCGGCGGGAGAAAACCGCCAACGGTCAGCCGCAGGAGGCCGTGCCAACCCGTGAGAAGGTCCTCCAGAGGAACACCGGCGTGTAAATACAGGCCTGGCCATCCGTTCTTCTCATCCGTAGGTTTGGGGTACGAAGGTCTTCAACTGCTGGAGGCTGATCAATTGGACCGAGAGATTTCTGGATCCCCTGTTTGTGTGAAAAGGGAGACCAAGCAGAAAAATTCAAAGCAGGAACCACGAAGTCTGCTTTTCTAAACCACGACAACCAAGCCCGTTGGAAGGAAAATCCCAAGCTAATATTTTTTAATCAAAAAGGCAGAGGGGGTCTCTCAATCACACCCTTTGTAAGTGCAAGCCTGGGGGGGGGGGAAGGAATACAGTGCTTTTACCCGGGAATAAACTAAATATTGGCATTCTGCTGAATGAGAAATGTGCCACACACAGTAAGGTGTGTGTGTGGGGGGGGTTTTAATTTAATAAATGTACAGTTAAGGACCTACCAAGATATGCTTTATGGTAGAATAACAGAACAACAGAGGTGGAAGTGACCTTGGACGTCTTCCAGTCTAACCGGAAACCTTATAACGTGTCCAGTCTCTTCTTAAAAACTCCCAGCGATGGAGCGCCCACAATTTCTGGTGGCAAGTTGTTCCAATGGTTAATTGCTCTCACTTTCAAGAAGTTTCTCCTTAGTTCTAGGTTGCTTCTCTCCTTGATTTGTTTCCACCCGTTGTTCTGCAGATTGACCAGAGACTTTGGCATCAAAATATGGAAAGACTCCAGAGTGGGGCTTACGAGTGTCCCCATGTGACCTGTGAGATATGTGGATTTAAGACCCTGTTGTGGGAGAGGGGATCGACTGCAGGATCTAAAAGGGATTACCATCCAGCTAGGAAGAAATCTCGGCTGTTCAAAAGCTCCAGACGTCCGCTGCGGATGAGCCCTTGAGAAGGCATTTTGAGGATCAAAAAGTGTGCAGCTCCATTGCACGACCGTTTTCCATCCTCTATGGATTCCGGAGAATCTTCTCAGGATCTTCCCAGGATATATCCCAGCAGCCCACTGGAAAAGGATTTTGACTCAGAGCAGTGGTTCTCAACCTGTGGGTCGGAACCCCATTTGGGGTCGAACGACCATTTCACGGGGGTCGCCAAACAACGCAGTCCGCCATTTTTTCCCCCTTTTCCTTAGTTGTGCTACTCCCTTTTATTCTATTGGCTTTTGAAAGCCAATAGAAGAGACTCTCTTGAATAAAGTCTAATTCTATTGGCTTTCCAAAGCCAATAGGAATTGTCCAGGCTGTCTCTGCCCTGCTGAGCCCGCCAAAAGCCCCATTCTGCAAACGGTGCTGCACCAGTTGAGTAGTCCTCGACTTACAATCGGTTGAGTAGTCCTCAACTTACGACTGGTTGGAGGTCGCGGCATTAAAAAGGTTGAGAACCACTGACTCAGAGGAACTGTATTTATGCACTTACTTGGAAAGAAATGGACTTGGAAGCAGAATTGGGGTCCCCTTCAATTCTGCCCTCTTTTATTTTGGGTCTCCTGATTCCAGGAAAGTGTGTGTTGAGGTTTTACCGCATACAGGTTGTCCTTGACTTACAACCGTTCATTTAGTGACTGTTGGAAGTTACAAGGGCGCTGATAAAAAGGGACTTGGCACCGTTTTTCACACTTAACAACCGTTGCAGCCTCCCTGTGGTCATGTGTGATCCACAGTTCAGAGCTTTGACAACTGACTCATATTTAGGACGGTTTGCGGCGTCCCCGGGGGGGGGGACAAATTCACTTAACAACCGTGTTGCCAACTTAGCCGCTTAAGCGATTCACTTAACAACGGTGGGAGGAAAGGTCGCAAAAGGGGGCAAAACTCACTTAACAACTGTCCTGCTTAGCGATGATGATTTCGGTCGTACGTCAAGGACTACCTGTGTATTAAATTCATGCCTACCTGAAATATTCATTAGCTGTATGGATGTTTTGTGCTTTGCCTTCCTTTCCAGGGCTTCTGGCTCTTTTGCTTTGGAAATGCATAAAATAAACCCAAATGTCTGAAAATCAACTGCGGACGGAGAGACCAGCTCCACTCTTCATTGCACGAATCCAGCACGGTCCTCGGTGGGCTCAGTACCGGGTTCGAGTTCAAAAAACGTGGCCTCCGAAATGCAGTCCCCGAACGCAGGTTCGGGGTTCAGGATTTGAAAAGACAAAAAAAGAAGAAATATCTGAGCTGGTCAATTGTATTGGATGAACGGCCCCCTTGGAATAAAATGCAAGCCGGTTGTGGGTGTTCGGCCAGGAAGGGCAATGAAATGGCGGCTATTTTTCAATTTCAGCCTAGACAGCCTCGGTCAGCTGAAGATTTGTTCCTACGGTTCAGCAGCCTGCAAAGTGGAGACTGGAGCCAGGACGAGGCTTTTTAAGGAAAGCGACTGACCGCATTGATGATGTGACCTAGTTGGGTCATGAAAGGTCTGCAAGAAAACCTCCCAGCTCAGAGAGCACCAAGGACCCCACAGTCGTCCTCGTCCTCCTCCTCTTCTTTTTCCACAAACCACACTCCCTTCTAGCACTGATGATGTTACCTAGCTGGGTCATGAAACGTCTGCAAGAAAACCACCAAGCTCAGAGAGCACCAAAGACCCCACAGTTCTCCTCCTCCTCCTCCTCCTCCTCCCATTCTCCTTATCCCCCATTTCACAAACTTAACTCTCTTCTAGCACTGATGATGTTACCTAGTTTGATAATAAAACATGTGCAAGAAAACCACCAAGCTCAGAAAACACCAAGGATCCCACAGTCCTTTTCTTCTTCTTCCTCTTCTTCTTCTTCTTCTTCTTCTTCTTCTTCTTCTTCTTCTTCTTCTTCTTCTTCTTCTTCTTCTTCTTCTTCTTCTTCTTCTTCTTCTTCTTCCTCTTCTTCTTCTTCTTCTTCTTCTTGTTCCTTCTTCTTCTCCTTCTCCTCCTCCTCCTCCTCCTCCTCCTCCTCAAACCCTACTTCCTTCTAGCACTGCTGATGTTCCTTAGTTGGGTCCTGAAACATCTGCAAGAAAACAACCCAGCTCAGAGAGCATCAAGGACTCCACAGTTCTATCCTGAGCTAGAAATATTAATTCCTGTCACAAATTATCCAACCTTATTTTAGGTCAGTGGTTCTCAACCTTTTTAATGCCGCGACCCCCAACCGATCGTAAGTCGAGGACTACTCAACCGGTCGTAAGTCGAGGACTACTCAACTGGTGCAGCACCGTTGGCAGAATGGGACTTTTGGCGGGCTCAGCGGGGCAGAGACAGCCTGGACAATTCCTATTGGCTTTTGAAAGCCAATAGAATTCTACTCTATTCAAGAGAGTCTCTTCTATTGGCTTTCAAAAGCCAATAGAATAAAAGGGAGTAGCACAGCTAAGGAAAAGGGGGGGGGGGAATGGCGGACTGCGTTGTTTGGCAACCCCTGTGAAATGGTCATTCGACCCCAAATGGGGTCCCGACCCACAGGTTGAGAACCGCTGTTTTAGGTGAACGGGCCCAGCATCAGTGATTAAGCATTTGTGCTGAAAGGAAGGGAGGGAGGGAGGGAGGGAGGGAAGGAAGGAAGGAAGGAAGGAAGGAAGGAAGGAAGGAAGGAAGGAAGGAAGGAAGGAAGGAAGGAAGGAAAAATGTGCCCATGTCTGGATGTACTTAGTCATATGCTTGTGTGCTAAAATAAAAAGCTGATGTACAGTACATAAATGCAAAGGGGGAAAAAAATCATACCAATGGATTCCCTGAGATCGTTTTGATGATAGAAGTTTGCAAAAGAGAGAGAGAGAGAGAAAGCCAGAGAAAGAGAGAGAGAGAGAGAAAGAGAAATAGAGAGAGGAAGACACAGAAAGACAGAGTGAAAAAGAGAAACACAAAAAGAAAGAGAAAAAAGAAAAAGAGGGAAAGAAAGATGGTGACAGAGAAACAGAAAGAAAGATGGAGACAGAAAGAGCGAGAAGGAGAAAGACGGAGACAGAAAGAAAATGACAGAGAAAGAGAGAAAGACATAGAGATGAAATCTGGATCTTGAGATAACCTGGGAGTGAAGTTGGATAGGGGAAAATCACATACAGGTCATCCTCGACCTACAACCATTCACTTAGTGACCGTTCAGAGTTACAATGGCATTGAAAAACATGACCTACGACTGTCCTTCACACTTACGACTGCTGCAGCATCCCCGTGATCAAAATTCGGGTGCTTGGCAACTGATTCACATTCATGACGGTCGCAGTGTCCCCGGGGGGGGGGGCACGTGACCCCCTTTTGTGACCTCCTGACAAGCCATGGGGGAAGCTGGATTCACTTAATGACCATGTGACTAACTGAACAACTGAAGAACTTTTAAGAAGAAACTGGACAGCCATTTGTCTGAAATGGTATAGGGTCTCCTGCTTGGAACAAGTGGTTGGACTAGATGACCTCTAAGTTCCCTTCCAACTCTGATGTTCTGTCGTCATCTCTGCATCTTAAGAGCAGTCCTGAGGATGCCTGCAAAGCATTGGGGAGGGGGGCAGCGGGGAGGAAGGGAACCGTCCTTAAAATCCCCAGCAAAACTCCGCTGGGTCAATGGATAACTGATTAAAAAGCAAGATTCCACTTTCTCTGCTGGGGGCATTAGCGGGTTATTCTGTAACTAAACAGCGTCCTGATAAAAGGGCCATTTCAGAATAGAATTACTAAGCAGCTCCTGAAGCACACACAACCCTGTTGTGTGTTTACAGCAGGCACACATGCGTTCGTTGTGTTACAACTTGGTTGAGAACTTACTTACGCGGTGACACTCACCAAAGCCCTAAATTGCTTTTTTTTTGCTTCCAGTTCAGAAAACTCTCGTAATCTTGCGAAATCTCAGATTCCAGCTCTGTTATTCTGTATTTTTGTTATTTCTGCATTAGTGTATAGCAGTGGTTCTCAACCTGTGGGTCGGGACCCCATTTGGGGTCGAACGACCATTTCACGGGGGTCGCCAAACAACGCAGTTTGCCATTTTTTCCCCCTTTTCCTTAGCTGTGCTGCTCCCTTTTATTCTATTGGCTTTCGAAAGCCAATAGAATAGACTCTCTTGAATAGAGTCTAATTCTATTGGCTTTCAAAAGCCAATAGGAATTGTCCAGGCTGTCTCTGCCCTCCTGAGCCCGCCAAAAGTCCCATTCTGCAAACGGTGCTGCGCCAGTTGAGTAGTCCTTGACTTACGACCGGTTGAGTAGTCCTCGACTTACGACCGGTTGGGGGTCACGGCATTAAAAAGGTTGAGAACCACTGGTGTATAGAATTGGCTTTTAGGTCCTTATAGGGGCCACTTGGGCAGCTGAAAAGAGATATTCAGCCCGAATAAACTCAGATTAGTTCTGCTGAGTGACAGTTTAGCTCCATTTTCAATCTTTTCTCGACACGGTTGTGAAGTGAATCACTGTGGAGGCTCAATTAGTAACAGGTCGTTAAGCAAATCTAGCTTCCCCCCCCCATTGACTTTGTCAGCAGGTCACCAAAGGGGATCACGTGATCCAGGGACACTGCGACTGTCGTAAATATGAGTCAGTTGCCAACGTCTGAATTTTGAACACGTGACCCATGGGGATGCTGCGACGGTCGTAAGTGTGAGAAACGGTCAAAAGTCGCTTATTTCGACACTGTGGTAACTTAGAACAGTCGCTAAACGGACATTTGTAAGTCAAGGATCTGTATTGAGTTGAGGAAAGCCTTTACTTCTTCACTGACATCTGCCTCCATTTTGGAAACTCAAGGTAGCAGACTTACTGAATGCTTCTGCCTCCTATTTTCTCTTTCACAACAACCTTTTGAGGTGGGCTGGGCTGAGGCAGAGATCCAAAGTTACTCAGGCACATCCATGGCTGAGGAAGGACTAGAATTCACGTCTCCAAGTTTCTAGTCCAGCACTTTTCACTAACCTTCGAATAATGACCAGAATAGAATAGATCTCAGAATAACAGAACTGGGAGGGACCATGGAGGTCTTCTAGTCCAACCCCCTGATCAGGTAGGACTAGGTGGAGAAAATTGCTGTGCGTGCCAACAAGGTAGGAGAAATAGATTTTTTTTTAAAAGGTCCCAACGCACTGTGGCCTGTCATAAAATGGTCCGTCGTGTAATTTATGATCGTTTTTGTGATGCTCATTAATCACACGCCACGATTGTTAAGCGAATCTGTTGTTCGTG